TAACCCTTCAAGCGCCATAAAAATCTCATGCAGTCGCATGCGCCCGGCAAATCCCGGATTTGCCTTTATTGCACCAGAGGATAGAGTATTTCATATTGATTCTATAATGCCAAACTTCTTCATAGAAAAGTAGTCTCTATATATTATGGGTTAAAGTACTGTGGATGGGTGAGACCTCATGAGATCGGTAGGGATTTGATGGAATATGGCCGCGGTATCATGAGACCGCTAGGAGGTTGAGAGGTTAAAACGCCAATAATACAAAAAAGGCCTAATCTCTTCTACACGTACACTTATAACTTGGTGAGCCGACTCTACATGCATGTCAAAGGGTATTTAAGACTCAGATCGGTCTAGCGAGCCATGTCAGAGCACATGATAGGGAAAATCCATAGCTCCGAGGGTTGGCGCCATTGCAATATTGATTATATACCAGCATTACGATGACGCCGATATATATAATCAATATATAACCAATATCATATTATATATATTTATAAAGATAATATTAACGTGGTAAAGTCACGCTGCAGCTATAACTATGGATGTATCACAAATGGGTTTGCTCGACCGAGGAAGTACCACGCTCTCACAGAATACCAGCGTGAAATAGCAGACCAATGCTTCTGTGTTTCGTATGGTGAACGTACAGAACCGGAGACCCTTTTTTCTGGTCATAAGGCATTCTATCTATCCTCAACGGTGACAACGCATCTGCGTTTCGATTCTTAATCGAGACAGATGTAGTTGTCTACGGGTCACAGCATCCACTTACCATCAGGTGGACTGTGTGCTCGTTCGCCACGCTTATTCTATAAAAACTGGCTCCGCACTGATGATCTCGATAGCAGCGCAACCTACCGGGCCATACCATACCATGTAGCATGTAGCAATAGATTTTTACTTTAATAGATTCTTCTATACGTCTGTTCGTCACTTCTAAAATGCTGGACCGATTTTGATGATCTCTAGGTGGTGTAGATTCATAATAGAACTTGGTAGATTGAGCTTTTGTTAAAACAAAGAAATCACCTGTGCAAAGTCGGGGCGAATCACTAGTTTGAATCGCTACATAATACATTGCTATGTAATTTTGTACACAGTAATACAGACCAATGACCTGACAACTATTGTTAACAAGGTTATCTACGAGTATATCTATCTCTCTTTGACTATCCAGAATATCCGTCTTTTCAGTTCAGCCTTCGTTTGGCCTCCGTTGAGGTTAGTTACGGCGTCTCGTCGACGAAATCTTGTACTTACTTTCACCGTTAATCACGATGCTTTCGTTTTTTCTCACCGAATTATTTGTTACGTATAACATTCGTCGCTTCAACAATGGAACGAAGAATTGATATTTTCCAATTTTTTATGAACACATTACGAAAGTACCTTTAATAAAGTGAGAGCAAGTTGTCCAGCTTTGGAGTGTTTATACGATTAATTTATTTCTTTGATGAATGTGATATATAGTGTGTATTATTTTTATGTAAATAAATGCTAATACTACGAGTATGCTACTAGATGGTAGAACCTTTTTTCTGTATAGAAGTCGGAGAAGGACCATGCTCTCACAGAACACCAGCGTAAAATATCAGCTTAATGCTGCTACGTTTCGTATGGTGAGTATAGAGAACCACCCCCCCCCTCCTCCCAATTACTAGAAACGAGGCATTCCATCTTAATCCTCAGGGGTAACAACGCATCTGCATTTTGATTCTTGAGGATAGATGTATATGTCTATGTGCCACAGCATCCACTTACCATACGTGGACTATGTACTCGTTTGTCACCCTTATTCCATAAATAAGGTGGTCTGTTATTCTTTTATTAATCTGTAAAATTATTTCAATATTTGAACGTAGTTTATTTCATTCATTTCTTTTAGTTTTAGTCTTTATTTATTATTGTTTGTTAATATTGTATATTTTTCATTCATGGATTCTCTTGGTAGAATTTTGCTAAAATTTAATAATTAAATTTTAATATGAATATAATTATTATAGGGTTTATTATATTTATCAAATAAATTGCAAAAAAGTAGATCAAAATAAGCCTTTTTATCACGGCATAAGATCTACATTTTTATTTATATATGACAAAAGACTCCTATTAATATATAAAAATTTCTTATTTCATTAAATCTCAAAATTGTTTGATCAATAAGTGCACCATCTAATATCATGAGTTCAGATTGGCCTTTATATTTTGTGATATTATTCAGCTCTTAGGGCCTTGTATAATTCAAAAACGTGCAGTTAGTACTTATACTCGCGAAAATAATCATAAACTAAAATTAGCATGCAAGTCTACTTGCACACTAAAAGCAATAGATTAATTTGTACATGTAAATACTCTTCGAAAAGTAAAACTCCATTTTGATTACTTGACTAAATTATTTACTTGTACAGGGTTTAGGTAATAGGATTATCTAGTTTTTATTTTAATAATGGCAAAAGCAATATATTTTCATAAGGACTAATAACCAAATTTTCGTAAGGACAATGGATAAATTTGAAATATAGAAAAAATATACCTATATCTCATTCATTACATTCCACATTTACAATTAAATGCAACTAAATTGCTTAATAAGTTCCTGATAAACCCTATTGTGGTTCGATATATTAAAAAAGCTATTATCGAAGAGTATAAGTTTTTTGGCGATGGACGATAGATAAGGCGAACGACCTCGTGTCCTTGAGCGTGTTGCTTCACAGCTTTCCAAATGACCACTAGGAAGCTTTATGTTTAACTATTCATAAGTCCGCTTACACACTGTAAAGAAATAAAATAAAGCTTTTTAAGTAAACCGCTACTTGCCCCAATGGCAACATCAGGAAGGGTTGGAAGTGGAGCTTTATGTGTGATGGCGGTGTAATAGAATCTATCATCACGTTGCATCACGTGGATGTGGCAAGCTGCGACTATGAGATATGTCACAAATATCTTTAAGCTTTTAATAGATAGCCACATCATCATGTCATATATATCAGCATCGTTTTTTATAGTAGAGGAGCAAACGAGCATACGGTTCACCTGGTGTTAAGTAACTACCGCCGCCCATGATCAACCGCAACACCAGGGGAATTACAGGTGCGTTGCCGGCCCTTTAGAAGGGAGTAAGCTCTTTTCTTGAAGGTCCCCAGGTCATATCGGTCCGAAAAAATCATCGGTGGTAAATTATTACAGAGAGGTCGTACTCGTAAGAAAACTCCTAGTGAAACGTACAGTGGTGGACCGCCAAGCATCGAAATGGTGTGGATGGTATCGAGAGGTTTGCCACGTAGTGCGTTCATGAAATTTGACAGCTAGGATTAATCCGAACAATTCCTCAGAGCACTCCCCGTGATAGATGCGATAAAATACGCAAAGAGATGCAAAATCTCTTCGCAGCGCCAGCGAATCAAGCCAATCGGTCACTCACTCAAAGCACTCGGTCGTCGACGATTCAAGCCGCTCTGCGCTGGATGCGGTCAAGTGGAAGGCGCTGGTACTAGGGAGCCCCAGACCAGAGATGGGAACAGTATTCCATGTGCGGCCGAACCAGCGCCTTGTAAAGTTGCAGGTGCTAGTGTAATTACAGACTGTAAGGCATTCCAACTTAGTGTTCAGAGGTGACAACGCAATTATATAGACTTCTTTGTTCCTTTAAAGCTTGTTGCAGGTGTCCATGAGCTGCAGTAGCAATTTACCAGCAGGTCGACTGTGAGTACATTATTTTATCACTTACAAAAAAAAGTCCGACTGGAATAGCGATCGGATTTTACTTCAAAAACGTAACGGTTATGCCAAATACTTTCTACTAGGAACTAACAATTCAGTATACACACAGCCTTATTACATCGAAATCCAATTACTGGTCATGGAGAATGAGGAACCATGATGACGAATCAGTTTTGTTAATTCTACACTTGAAGAGTTTTTGTCTGCATTTTTTTATTCCAATTTTATACTGCACGTACACGTAACTTGTTGACGTGAATAACGTTACATTTAAGATTGAAATATCAGGAGGAATAATTACATTTCACTACAGGGTATCTTTTAAGCAATATATTGGATATGATATATTTTGTATGTAGAGTAGTTTCTTAACTGATATTTTTTATATCAATAAATTATTTCTGATAATACATTCCGATTTTTGGCATCCCTTGTAGACTTGTAAAGGTCTTTAAATATGATGATGATGATGATGATAGATCCATTCTTGAAATTAAATTAAATTTATTTGAAAAAACATGGTATGTACGATATTGTGATATCCTATGCCGGGTGCACATTTGATCATCTTGACGTATCTTGATTAGGCGTATATCGCAAATTGATGTATTTCAAACATGGACGCCAATTTTGATTATATTACGTACCATTAGATTGACTATGTGCTCACTTTTCACTCTTATCCTTAGTTAATAAAATTATAATTATATTATTTGTTCCATTCTATATGAAAATGTATAGGAAATCTAGATTCACACTACTACGTATGGAATAATTCACATACTATAATATGGAAGAGAAAATAAGCTTAAATAAAATTTTAATTTCATATAAATTACCTAGAATGAAAAGAGATTTAAGCGAGCTCAAAGTGATATCGTACACTATCTATATCGCTGGTACACTACCAGCCTGATAGCTAAACGACCATTCGCATAAGATCTTTAATCCTTTATTCATCAGAATCTTCTTAAGGACCGTGGACCGTTATCGTCATAGCCTATTAAAGTCCACTGCTGAATATAACCCCCCCCCCCCATAAATTGCCTCATAAATGGGATACTTGCTATAGTTGCCACGCTTGGCAAACACGTTTGCAACCTCATTTTTTATTTTTAGACGTCATTAGGAAGACGCTACCGCCCATCTCCTGATTTGTTTCTCTCTGTCGCCTTTTACAACACCCATGATATGGGGTATTGGATATTCTTACACCACCACTATACGGTACTTAAGAACAGCTAAAGTAAAATATTCTAAAATATCCAACTCACCATTAACAACTTGAATTAATATCGCGAACAGCACCGCGCTCAAGCGGCGGCCGCGCGTCCGCCATTTTCCCCTAGCAGCCATATTGTTTTGGCGAAAAACTAGACACTTCACTTTGGTCCATCCGTGCGGTCACTTCACATAACTTGTATACAATATCTAATATTAATAGTCTATTAGCTGGATTTTCAGTCCTACCTTCACATTTGTCGTCACGGATCTGTAACAAAGAACATTACACATTAATATCAGACCAAAAAAATTGATTTGAAAAAGAGATTGACGGAAAATATCGTACATTTTAATTTACGCCAAAACCGAGCCAAAACCACGCTCAACTTATTGTATATGCACTCATACACATTCACTCACATATGCATCTTAAATCATACTCGTGATAGCAACCAACAACATGGTTTTAAGTGCATGTGTGCGTCCAGCATTGGAATCTCACGGACTGTTAAAGAAGAAAGGAGAAGATGTATGCGTGAGTGTCAAGAAATTGAAATAGTAACGGAGAAAAAAAGAAATATAATTTCGAGCGATAATAGTCAAATGTTGGTTTATTGACCGATAACTTAAAAGCCATAGATTGGAATCTTTCACTCGACCAGGAATAATTAACGGTTAATAGCTTTACTGGTATTTTTTACATTTCGTAAGCGGCTTAAGATATTCAGTCATCTATCGTAATCTGCTATATGATTTTATTGGTATTTTATAAGCCGCCATTAAAATGCAGTGTATTCAATATTTCTGACGGTACCTTCGTCTAAGTATTATATTTACATTGAAAAAATATAAAAATTAACGACGTCGTGGAATAGAGCCAATAGTGGTAGAGGTGGAAGTGTGAAAAGAACTTATTTCAAGTTTTGATGAAATATGAGATTATCTTTTTACTATTTTCTAAATTAATAATATGTTTTCATTGATTATAAAAATACATTAAAATGCTATTTCAAAAATAAAGAGTATTCTCAGAAGTATCATTTTTTCGTTGAAGTCTTTTATACTAAAAATGTTACAGCATAAAAGACTTCAACGAGTTAGTAGAAATACGTTGTGTATATATTTACGCGAATATTACACAATCCACTATCACAGCTATATAGTACACCGAATAGTTTAAAATTATACTATTCAATCTTCGATTGTACAAAATGTTACGATCAGGACATTTATTTCATTAGATTTGCAGATGACATAGCAGCTTTAGCAGAATACAGATTATCAGAGAAGAATATCAGATCTTTTGCTTGAAACAATGGAAAAATATTTAAGAAATAATACTTAAAAATAAACTAACATACTAAAACTTTCAGAATCCAAACCAACTCTAAGTATTTTACTATTTTTATATGTTTAGGGTCACAGCAGCCACATAACATCAGGTGGACTGCGTGCTCGTTTGTCCTTATTTTATAAAAAAATGATAAGATACTGCAAGAATTTAATAGCTTAAAACATTTTGGAAGCATAATTAATACTGAAAATAAATAAACTCAGGATGGAGTGTCAAGGATTGATATAGCAAAATGTATTCAAGCAACAGTCAAAAAAGATATATAAAAGCACTTATATATTTGACTGCCTCGTTGATCTAGTGGTTGTAGTAGTACGACTGCTGATAATGAAGTCCTGGGTTCGAATCTCGGGTTGGGCCAAACAAATCAATTATAGAGTTTTTCCGTCAAGAAATTCTCAATAGCTGCTCGGAGTCAGGAAGTTGGCGGTGTCTCACCCCCGTACCTCGAAAAGCACGTAAAGCCTTTGGTCCTGCGCTTGATCTCATTCCGGTCGTGTCGGTTTACCGTCCCATCGGATTATGAGAGTGCACCTGTGCTTGCGCATGCACTTTAATCCTGTCCCGCGCCGTTGGCTAGTCTCCGTTGAGTCAGGCCATAACCGAAATTCGGTCTGGAGGACATTATTATATTTGGAGTATAGGACATAATACTATATATGTATAGTATATTTATAGCTATAAGGGTTTCATACCGTACGGTGGACACTAACACAAAAAGATAGAAAAAAATTGAGGCCTTCGAAATGAGGTGGTAGAGGAAAATAGGGATCGAGGGAAGAAAGAAAGACTAAATGAATAAGATAGTGAGAAAGACAAAGGAAACGGTCAGCCAAGAAAGAAATCAAATCAGCAAATTACCACTCCATCTACTGCATTACACTTTGTGCTTAATTTATATATCAAAAATAAACATTTATTTATTTATTTAAAAATTAATTGCACTTAAAATGTACAATTGGCGGACTTAATAAAAACCTTTAGGCATTCTCTACCAGTCAACCACGAGCTAAACAGAGAACTTTAGCAGGTGCCATAAAACATGAGGATGATTTGTTCCTGAATGTTAATATAAAAATACACATACCGTAAGTGTAAATACAAAAATAAATATACATAACTACAATTAAACTAAGTAATATACTCAATACCTGATACATTACATACATAATTTTTAAATAATACATACGCTTTGAGCATACTTACATACACATACATACATATTATACTTAAACAATTTGAATAATTTATAATGTCAAGTCACATATAAGCAGAAACAATTAAATATGAAAGTTATTTGCTGGAAGAAGAAAGGTAGTGATCAGTCACCATCTTCTTAAGGGTAGCAACAGAAGTCGGTTTTCTGATATGAGGGGGTAATTTATTCCATAGCCTTATGGCCTCAGCGGCGAAAGACTGAGACATGCATTTGGTACGGCGAGGAAAAACACATAAGATTGTGACCTCTTTCTTCTTATACTCATATTTTAATATTTTATTTTCATATTTCATATTCTAACACGCGCTGATAAAGGCTTAGAGATTTTATAACACTAATATTGAATAATTGTTTAATTTATGATTATTATTTTAATTATTAATTCATAAGAGATACCTATTAATTCGTTTGTTATAATTGGATGATTTTTTTTTAATATTTTTTGCATGTAAAATTAAACCACAAACACGCACAGTGTTGGATTTTATGTAATCCACAAGAGTTTTGGAATTAAATAAACAAACAATAAACAATAAGGTAGTTCCCTCGGAGGATCGCAGGTTACGATTATGAGAATAACCCAAATACTGAAAATTGCATTTAAGGTATTGGGAAGTGCATGGATCATATAGGATTGAAAAAAGCGTGCGAAGAATTTTGATACATCTACGCTGATGGATAGGGAGCCATTTAAGCTTAGAACGATATATGGATACATGATCGTATTTACGAAGGCCAAAAATAAAACGGATGCAATTATTTAACAAACTATCCAATTTGCACATCCAAACATCCGTATCTCATCTTATTGTTACTGTGATTCTTGATTCTTCTTAATTTTTTTCTATACGGTAAGGGTGACAAACGAGCACACAATCCACGTGATGGTAAGTGGATACTGTGGCCCATAGACATGTACATTTATTCTCGATTATAAATCAAAACACAGATACGTTATCACCCCTGAGGACTAAGATGGAATGCCTCGTTTTCAGTAAAAAGGGGTTTCCGGATCTCTATACTCACCATACAAAACACATCAGTATGTCTATTTTACTCTGGTATTCTGAGAGAGCGTGGTCCTTCCTCGGTCAAGCTGACCTATTCGTACTATAACCATAATATAGCTGCAGCGTAGCTCTACTACGTACCCGTTATTCATATTTTTAATAAAGTTAACATACAACGCACGTCATAGTTGATAGAATGCACGAGTATAAAGGAATTCACCCAACACCTACTGATGAATAAAGCCGGTGGATACACGGGTCAGTTCACGTTTTAGTGGGTTTTGTAACACGTTACGTATACGTAAAACATGCGTCTTTACAAGTCTGGCTTGTTAAATAAGATTGTGGGGTTGCGTGTACTCGAAAAACACGCGTACCGATATGTAATCATGTAAAAGGGTTAAGTGACAAATATATCGGTAACGTTGCCATACATACGGAACCCGTGTTGTTGAATAATAAACACATAACAGTGACTCCATATTGGAAATGCATATGGCGTGACTTATATGGCGGCAATGGAAAACTTTGTTAAGCATACAAAGCGTCTGGAAATGACAGACCAGTAACCTTTTGCAAAACTCTACGACCTAAAATCGCGGCCTTCTTTACGTGACGATTTTGGGACGATTGAGGATGTAATATCTATTTTATATTTATATTATACATTTATCATACTGACAGAATTATTAATCTGCATCATAGTATTTTATTTATATTTTCGTAGTATTTTTATACGTGGTAGAATCACGCTACAGCTATATTGTGATTGTAGCGAATGCGAAATACGAATGGGTCGGCTCGACCGTGGAGGACCACGCTCTCACAGAATACCAACGTAAAATAGCAACTCAATACTGATGTGTTTCGTATGGTGAGTGTAGAGATCCGGAGACCATTTATTATTGAAAATGAGGCGTTCTATCTTAAACCTCAGGGATGACAACGCATTTTGATTTTTAATCGAAGATAAATGTAGACGTCTATAGGCCACAGCATCCACTTACCATCAAGTGGACTGTGTGCTCGTTTGAAACCCTTATTCTATTAAAAAATATATAGTAAAGCCATGCTGCAGCTGTATTATGGATAAAGCATGAATTGGTCGGCTCATCTGTGGAAGATTCATACTCTCACAGAATCAATCAACGTCTTTGCGCCTATTGTAAACAATTTAATAATGCCACTATAATTTTTCACAGATTACCAGAGTAATATAATATATAGTGTAAATTAACAAGGTAATGTTACTGTGTTTCGTATGATAAGTATGCATATAAGATATATACTGTATATATATATATATATATATATATATATATATATATATATATATATATATATATATATATATAATCGGAATTTCGGAAAATTTTCATAAAATTTTGTGCCAGGGAGTTTCGGGGGGCAGTAAATCGATCTAGCTAGGATTTATTTTTAGAAAATGTCTTTTTGTCCGTGTATTCAGGCAAAGAAAAACTGCTACAATATAAGAAGGTAAATTTTGACACTTTGTTAATGATCGTAATAGCTCAAGTGGATATCGAGC